AATAAGTTGCCTGATAAAAAGGATTATTTTGATAGAATAAATTATATGAAATCTTTCATACTTATTAACCCTACATTTAATAGAATCAAACTATTTCTAAAAATATCAAAAATTTTTATGCTTCATACATTAAAACGTAAAAGATAAGCTAATTAAGCTAATAGGTTCATACCCTATTTATAAAGGTTAATCCCTTTTCTTTTAAATTAAATTTAATCCTTCAAAATCTTTATTTATATTTATATTAATTATTAGAATTTTAATTACATTATCTTCAAACTCTTGATTAGGGATTTGAATAGGCCTAGAAATAAATTTATTATCTTTTATTCCCCTAATAATCGATAACAAAAACTCTTATTCTAGAGAAGCCGCTCTAAAATATTTCTTAACTCAAACAATAGCTTCTTCAATTTTTCTTTTTTCAATTATTTTTTTTTTAAATTTAAAAACTATTAATTTTAATATTTGAAATTATTCTACTTGAATTAGCCTCCTTTTCATTAATTTTTCTATATTAATTAAGGCAGGTTCTGCCCCCTTTCATTTTTGATTTCCTTCAGTAATAAACTGTTTATCTTGATTTAATAACTGAATTCTTATAACTTTTCAAAAAATTTCTCCTTTTATTATTATTTTTTATTCATTTAATTTTTATATTAACATAATTAGATTAATTTTATCGCTTTTAATTGGTGCTTTAGGGGGATTTAACCAAACCTCTTTACGAAAAATTATAGCTTACTCTTCAATTAATCATCTAAGATGAATACTTTCTAGAATATTTCACTCTAAAATTTTATGAATAAATTACTTTATATTTTATTTTTTTTTAACAAGCTCAATTATTTTACTATTAAATTTTTTTAATATTTTTTTTATTAATCAATTATTTTTATATTTTAATAAAAATTTAATAATTAAATTTTCTTTATTTTCTCTTTTTTTTTCTTTAAGAGGAATTCCTCCATTTTTAGGATTTTTTCCTAAATGAATAATTATTGAATTTATAATTCATAATAATTTCATTTTTATTTTATTACTTTTAGTCACTATTACTCTTTTAACTTTATATTTTTATCTTCAAATTACTTATTCTGCTTTTTTAATTAATTCATGAAATATAAAATGAAATTTTAAATTTTTAAATTTTAATATTTTTAATTATCAAAATTTATATATATATATTATTATATTTATTTCAATTTTTGGTTTAATTATAATTTCAATTTTTTTTAACTAAGATTTTAAGTTAAAAAAAACTAATAACCTTCAAAGTTATCATTAAAAAAGATTTAAATCTTATATATAATAATATATAAAGTTTTAATATTATTTAATAATATACCATTAAATTTGCAATTTAATATCATTTTTGAATATAAAACTTATATTATTAATTAAAGAATTAAAAAATTCATTTATAGATTTACAATCTACCGCCTAACTTCAGCCATTTAATCGCGACAATGATTATTTTCAACAAATCATAAAGATATTGGTACATTATATTTTATTTTTGGAGCTTGAGCTAGAATAATTGGAACTTCTCTTAGAATTTTAATTCGAGCTGAACTAGGTCATCCAGGATCATTAATTGGAAACGACCAAATTTATAATGTTGTTGTTACTGCACATGCCTTTATTATAATTTTTTTTATAGTTATACCAATTATAATTGGAGGATTTGGTAACTGACTAATTCCTCTAATATTAGGAGCCCCAGATATGGCCTTTCCTCGTATAAATAACATAAGATTTTGACTTCTTCCCCCCTCTTTATCTTTATTATTAACAAGAAGAATAGTTGAAATAGGGGCAGGAACAGGATGAACTGTTTATCCTCCTTTATCTAGAAATATTGCCCATGCAGGAGCTTCTGTTGACTTAGCTATTTTTTCTCTTCATCTAGCCGGAATTTCCTCAATTTTAGGAGCCGTAAACTTTATTACCACAATTATTAATATACGAACAACAGGAATCTCTTTTGATCGAATATCTCTTTTTACTTGATCTGTTATAATTACAGCAGTTCTATTACTTCTATCTCTCCCTGTTCTAGCAGGAGCTATTACTATATTATTAACAGATCGAAACCTAAATACATCTTTTTTTGATCCTGCTGGAGGAGGAGACCCAATTTTATATCAACATTTATTTTGATTTTTTGGCCACCCTGAAGTCTATATTTTAATTTTACCAGGATTCGGAATAATTTCTCACATTATTAGAAACGAAAGAGGTAAAAAAGAAACATTTGGAACTTTAGGAATAATTTACGCTATACTAGCAATTGGACTTCTTGGTTTTATTGTTTGAGCACATCATATATTTACTGTTGGAATAGATGTTGATACCCGAGCTTATTTTACTTCTGCAACTATAATTATTGCAGTTCCTACAGGAATTAAAATTTTTAGTTGATTAGCAACAATCCATGGATATCAATTATCATATTCTCCTTCTTTATTATGAGCATTAGGTTTTATTTTTTTATTTACTGTTGGTGGATTAACAGGAGTTATTTTAGCAAATTCTTCTATTGATATTATTCTTCACGATACATATTATGTTGTTGCTCATTTTCACTATGTATTATCTATAGGGGCTGTATTTGCTATTATAGGAGGGTTTATTCACTGATATCCTTTATTTTCAGGGTTTAACATAAACTCATATCTTTTAAAAATTCAATTTTCAATTATATTTCTAGGAGTAAATTTAACCTTTTTCCCTCAACATTTTCTTGGATTAGCAGGAATACCTCGACGATACTCAGACTATCCAGATATTTATACCTCATGAAATATAATCTCTACTCTTGGTTCATCAATTTCTCTTTTAAGAATTATACTATTTATTTATATTATTTGAAAAAGAATAATTTCATACAATCAAATAATTTTTCCTATTCAAATTAACTCATCATTAGAATGATTTCATAACATTCCTCCAGCAGAACATTCATATTCTGAATTACCTATTTTATATAATTATCTAATATGGCAGATTAGTGCAATGAATTTAAGCTTCATATATAAAGAACCTCTTTTATTAGAAAATGGCAACATGATCAAACCTTAACCTTCAAGATAGAGCATCTCCTTTAATAGAACAACTTATTTTTTTTCATGACCACACTCTTATAATTTTAGTTATAATTACTATATTAATCAGATATCTAATAATTATATTATTTTTTAATTATTTTACAAATAAATTTCTCTTATCAGGACAAATAATTGAAATTATCTGAACAATTATCCCTGCAATTATTCTTCTATTCATTGCCTTCCCTTCACTTCGTCTTCTTTATCTTTTAGATGAAATTAACTCTCCTTCAATTTCTTTAAAAACAATCGGACATCAATGATATTGAAGTTATGAATATTCAGACTTCAAAATAATTGAATTCGACTCTTATATAATTCCTAATAATGAACTTAATAATTTTAACTTTCGATTACTTGATGTAGATAATCGAATTATCCTTCCTATAAAATCTCAAATTCGAATTATTGTATCTGCAACTGATGTTCTTCACTCTTGAACAATTCCATCATTAGGAGTAAAAATCGATGCTTCCCCTGGACGATTAAATCAAACAAATTTTTTAATCTATCGTCCAGGCTTATTCTATGGCCAATGTTCAGAAATTTGCGGAACTAATCATAGTTTTATACCTATTGTAATTGAAGCAATTAAATTAAATTACTTTATAAACTGATTAAAAAACTATAACTAATCCATTAGATAGCTTAAAGTAAGCAAGGGTCTCTTAAACCTTAAAATAGTAAACTAACGCCTACTTCTAATGAAAAAATTAGTTAAATTATAACATTAGTTTGTCAATCTAAAATTATTTTAATAAAATATTTTTTAATCCCACAAATAGCCCCTATTATATGAACATGAATATTTTGTTTTTTTTTATTAATTTATTTACTATTTAATATTATTAATTATTTTTCGTTTTTATATCAACCTAATAACCTAACCTCTTCTATTAAACCTACCTTGTCTCATACAATTAATTGAAAATGATAAGTAATTTATTTTCTGTTTTCGATCCTTCAACAACTATTTTTAATTTTTCTTTAAATTGAATAAGAGTTTTAATTGGATTATTATTTATCCCCTCTATATTTTGAAGATCTCCTTCCCGATATCAAATTATTTGAAATAAAATTATACTAACTTTAAATAATGAATTTAACTCTCTATTAGGTAATAAAAAACACCTAGGAAGAACTTTTTTATTTATTTCCCTTTTTTCTTTTATTTTATTTAATAATCTTCTTGGTCTTTTCCCATATATTTTTACCTCAACAAGTCATTTAATCTTAACACTAACTTTAGCCCTACCTCTTTGATTAAGATTTATACTATTTGGTTGAATTAACCACACCCAACATATATTCTCCCATTTAGTTCCTCAAGGAACCCCTTCCATTTTAATACCTTTCATAGTAATTATTGAATCAATTAGAAATATAATTCGACCAGGAACCTTAGCTATTCGATTAATAGCAAATATAATTGCAGGTCATCTATTAATAACCCTCTTAGGTAATACTGGACCTACAATGCCTATTATTATAATTTCTTTATTACTAATCGTTCAAATTGCTTTATTAACATTAGAAACAGCTGTATCAATAATTCAATCCTATGTTTTTGCTGTTTTAAGTACTCTTTACTCTAGAGAAGTAATTTAATGACAACTCATGCAAATCACCCATTTCATTTAGTTGATTATAGCCCATGACCACTAACTGGAGCAATTGGAGCAATAACTTTAGTATCAGGATTAATTATATGATTTCATCAATATAGTTTAATTTTATTTATTTTAGGTAATATTATCACACTATTAACAATATTTCAATGATGACGAGATATTACTCGAGAAGGTACATTTCAAGGCCTTCACTCAATCCCTGTAACATTAGGATTACGATGAGGAATAATCTTATTTATTATTTCTGAAATTTTTTTCTTTATTTCTTTTTTTTGAGCCTTTTTTCATAGTAGACTATCTCCTACAATTGAACTTGGATCAAAGTGACCTCCCTTAGGTATTAATCCTTTTAATGCTTTCCAAATTCCCCTCTTAAATACAGCTATCCTCCTTGCTTCTGGTGTAACTGTAACTTGAGCTCACCATAGCCTACTATCAAAAATACATTCACAAACTTTCCAAAGATTAATATTAACAATCATTTTAGGTATTTATTTTACATCCTTACAAGCCTATGAATACCTTGAAGCCCCTTTCACAATTGCTGATAATATTTATGGATCAACATTTTTTATAGCAACCGGATTTCATGGTCTTCATGTTCTTATTGGAACTACATTTTTATGTATCTGTCTAATTCGTCATCAACAAAATCATTTTTCAAAAAACCATCATTTTGGGTTTGAAGCTGCTGCTTGATACTGACATTTTGTTGATATTGTTTGATTATTCCTTTACATCTCAATTTATTGATGAGGAAACTAATAATTATTTATATAGTATAAAAAGTACAATTGACTTCCAATCAAAAAGCCTATAAATTTAGTATAAATAATTTTTTCATTAATAACCACCTTAATTATAATTTTTATTATTAGAAACCTAGTTATAATAATTACATTATTACTATCAAAAAAAATAGTGATAAATCGAGAAAAAATGTCTCCTTTTGAATGTGGGTTTGACCCTAAAACAACCCCTCGAATTCCTTTTTCTATTCAATTTTACTTAATCGGTATTATTTTCTTAATCTTCGATATTGAAATTGCTCTTCTTTTACCAATAATCCTATCTTTTCAAATCTCTAATCTTCTAATTTGAATAAGAACTAGTATTATATTCTTATTAATTTTAATTATTGGTCTTTTTCATGAATGAAAACAAGGAGCATTAAATTGAAATTTTTAAACTACAGGAATATAGTTAATTATAACATTTAAATTGCAATTAAAAAGTATTGAAAATCAATTATTCTTAATAATTATATAAATATTATAATATATATATATATAAAGCAATTGTGCAATTAGTTTCGACCTAACAAAATGATTTATTTAAATCTATATATATACTATAATTAATTGAAACCAAAAAGAGGTATATTACTGTTAATAATATTATTGAAAAATTTTTCCAATTAAAAAGAAATGATGTTCAAAAAAAAGCTGCTAACTTTTATTTTAATGGTTTAATTCCATTTATTTCTTTTTAAAAATATTCTTATAACTTATTTATATATATATAAATATTAAATATAATATGTTTATATAGTTTAAAAAAAACATTATATTTTCAATATAAAAATAAATTAATTTTATAAATTATTTAAAGATAAAATATCACCTTAATATCTTCAATATTCTGCTCTAATTTAAGCTATTTAAATAATTAAATAAAACTAAAAATAAAATAAAAAATCATATAACTATTAATAATAAATAAATTTTTAAATAATTATATTGTATTTTTTCAATATAAAAAGAACTATTTAAAATAATTTTATAAATATTTAACCCTCCTCAATACTCTCTTCATCCATAATCTAAATTCTTAATTAAATAAAACCCCAAATTTAAACTTATTTTTCTAACACCTAAAGTAGACAAACTTGGCAAAAATCATATTCTTCCCAAATATCACTTTATATAAACTAATTTAAAATAATTACAATATAAAACTAACTTAATTAATGAAATTATATAACCAATTACTCCTCCTATAATACATCTCTCTAAAGTTAACAATTTTAACTTTAAAGGTAAATAAATTAAATAAGGTTTTATAAATATTAACCATCTTAATAAACTTCCCCCAATAACTACCATTATTAATAATAAAAACATTCTTTTTACTATATAAACCCCTCTATCTATAATTAAAAATATTGAAAATATCTTTATATCTCCTCTTAATAAATAAAAAACTAATCGAAAAGTATATGATACTGTTAACCCGGTTGAAACAATTACTATAATAAATATTACTAAATTAAAATTATTTATATAAATAATTTCTAAAATTAAATCCTTTGAATAAAATCCGGCTAAAAAGGGAAACCCACATAAAGCTAATCTCGCAATTCTAATACTTATAACTGAAAAAGGTATAAAATTTACTAAACCCCCTATAAACCGAATATCTTGATTATTAAATATATTATGAATAACCCCTCCTGCACATATAAATAATAAAGCCTTAAATAATGCATGAGTCAATAAATGAAAAAATGCCAATTCTTTAAATCCAAAAGAAAAAATTATTATTATTAAACCCAACTGTCTAAGAGTCGATAAAGCAATAATCTTCTTTAAATCAAACTCAAACATAGCCCCTAACCCTGCTATTAATATTGTTACTCTTGAAATTAACATCAATAAATTAATAATTCATAAATTTAATATTAAATCTCTAAATCGAATTATCAAATATACGCCCGCAGTTACTAATGTTGATGAATGAACTAAAGCAGAAACTGGAGTAGGAGCCGCCATAGCTGCAGGTAATCAAGAAGAAAAAGGAATCTGAGCTCTTTTTGTTATAGCAGCTAATATAACTAATCCCCCAATAATTATTATCTCCCAATCGCTTTTTAATATTCTTAAATAAAAAATATAATTTCATCTCCCATAATTTAATATTCAAGAAATTGCTAATAAAAAAGCTACATCCCCTAAACGATTAGATAAAGCAGTTAATATCCCAGCATTATAAGATTTAATATTCTGAAAATAAATTACTAAACAATACGAAATTAATCCTAATCCATCTCAACCTAACAAAATAGAAATTAAATTTGGACTAAAAATTAATAATAATATTGATCTAACAAATAATAAAACTAAAATAATAAATCGATTTATATTTATATCTCCTCTTATATAATCCTTTCTATAAAAAATTACTATTCTAGAAATAAATAAAACAAAAGCACTAAATATCAATCTCATTCAATCAAAAATTAATGTTATAAAAACTCCAACTCTATTATAACTAATAACTTCTCACTCAATAAAATATCTATAATTACAATTTAATAAAACTAAAGAATAAAAAAATAATATTAATCTAAAACTAAATAAAATTACAAATCTTATAATACAAATTGATATATATTTAATAATTTAAAATATTCTATATATCTTTGACACCACAAATCAATATTTTTAATTAAACTATTTAAATAAATTAAAAAAAAATAATCAACCTTTATAATTATTAAATTTAAAGGTAATCAATGTAAAAATATTAATATATATTCACGAATAAAACCTGAAAAACTTCCATATTCTACTAAAAACTTACCATGTTGACTATAAGAATATAAATACAATGTATATGCTGCTCCTAAAAAAGAAATAAAAAATAATAATCATATTCTCATTACTGATCATCTTACTAATCTATTTAATAAACTAATCTCGCCTAATAAATTTAATGAAGGAGGAGCTGCTATATTCATAATACTTAATAAAAATCATCATATACTTATTCTTGGTATAACAGATAATAAACCTCGATTAATAAATAATCTTCGTCTTATTGTTCGCTCATAAACTAAATTAGCTAAACAAAATAAACCAGATGAACACAACCCATGAGCAATTATCATACTAAATCCTCCCATTATTCCTCAACTCTTTATTGTTATTAAACCTCCTACTACAATACCCATGTGAACAATAGAAGAATAAGCAATTAATAATTTTATATCTGTTTGACATAAACATAACAATCTTACTAATACTCCCCCTAATAATCTAACTCTAACCCATCAATATCTTAAAGATACACCTAATCTCTGAACAATTATTAACACACGAAATAAACCATATCCTCCTAACTTTAATAAAACTCCAGCTAAAATTATCGAACCAGCAACAGGAGCCTCAACATGAGCTTTTGGTAACCATAAATGAACTAAAAATATAGGTATCTTTACCAAAAAAGCTATAATTAAACTAATATATAAATAAATTCTAAAACTACTGCTTAAATTAAAAAAAAAAAAATCTAATGAACCATAAATTTTATATAAATAAAAAATTCTCAACAATAAAGGTAAAGAAGCTAATAATGTATAAAATAAAATATAAACCCCTGCCTGTAAACGCTCAGGCTGATACCCTCATCCTAAAATTAAAAAAAAAGTTGGAATTAAACTTCTCTCAAAAAATAAATAAAATATAAATATATTTATAGATATAAATGTTAAAACTAAAAATATTAATAAAATAACTAATAAAAATATAAATAAACTCTCCTGCTTTTTATAAAAATTCAACTTTTCTCTTGCTATTATTATTAAACCACTAATTCAACAACTTAAAATAATCAAACCAAAAGATAAAAAATCAACCCCTAAAAAATATCTTAAATTTATTCAATGCCCTCTATTAACTAAACCTAATAAAACTAAAAACACTAAAAAAAATATACAATTATGAACCAATCAATATATTTTTTTATTTAAACATAAAAATAATAAAAATAAAATAAATATAAATAATTTTAACATTATAAAACATTAATAGATTGAAAATAATCATTCCCATGTGATCGAACAAGAATTACTAAAACTGAAAGACCTAAAACCCCCTCACAAACTCTAAAAGTTAAAAAAATAACTCTAAAATAATTTTCATAATTAAAATTCATTAAATATAAAACTAAATATAAAAATAAACTCAATACAATAAACTCTAAACTTAATAATATAGATAATAAATGCTTTTGATTAGATACAAAAACTCCAAGTCCTCTAAAAAAAAGAAATCAAGAAATAAATCAATAATATATTTCCATTAGTTTTAATAGTTTAAAAAAAACACTGGTCTTGTAAATCAAAATTAAATTAAAATTTTTAAAACTTCAGAAAAAATTTTACAACTATCTTTAATCTCCAAAATTAATATTTTATTTAAACTATTTTCTGAAATATTAAATATAATATTTTCCTTTATAACTATTTTAACCTCTATTACCTTCTTCCTAATAACCCATCCATTAGCTATAAGATTATTATTAATTCTTCAAACTATATGAATTATATTAATAATTGGAACAATAATAAAAACTTTTTGATTCTCATACATCTTATTTTTAACCTTTATTGGAGGAATATTAATTTTATTTATTTATATTACTTCTCTAGCTTCAAATGAAATATTTACCTCTTCATCAAAAACTCTCATTATAATAATATTTATTATCTTTTTTTTACTTATCTATACTATAATCATTGATAAACTACCCTTTAATTATATAACCAATAATTACGAAATAAACTCATTTGAAAACCAAACTATTCTTTTTAAAGAAAATTTACTTAATTTAAACAAATTATATAATTTCCCAATTAATTATATCATACTACTAATAATCACATATCTATTATTAACATTAATTATTATTGTAAAAATCACTAAATTCAATAATGGCCCTTTACGAAAAACTTTTTAAAATAATTTTAAATCATAATAAACTAATGAAAATACCTATTCGAAAAAATCATCCATTAATAAAAATTATAAATAATGCTTTAATCGATCTTCCAGCTCCTATCAATATCTCTACTTGATGAAACTTTGGGTCCCTCCTAGGATTATGTTTAACAATCCAAATTATTACAGGACTATTCCTAGCAATACACTACTCAGCTAATATTGAAATCGCTTTTAATAGTGTAAATCATATTTATCGAGATGTTAATTTCGGGTGACTAATCCGATCTTTACATGCAAATGGAGCATCTTTTTTCTTTATTTGTATTTATTTACATATTGGTCGAGGAATTTATTATAATTCATATCTTTTTATTCCAACATGAACAATTGGTGTTTTAATTTTATTTATTACTATAGGAACAGCCTTTATAGGATATGTGCTTCCATGAGGTCAAATATCATTTTGAGGGGCTACTGTTATTACAAACCTATTATCAGCTATTCCATATATAGGAAATACCTTAGTTCAATGAATTTGAGGAGGATTTGCTGTTGATAATGCAACTTTAACTCGATTTTTTTCTTTTCATTTTTTATTTCCATTTATTATTATTGCTATAGTTATAATTCACCTCCTCCTATTACACCAAACTGGCTCTAATAATCCCTTAGGATTAAACAGAAATATAGATAAAATTCCATTTCACCCATACTATTCATTTAAGGATTTAATTGGCTTTATTATTATACTAATATTATTAACTATTCTATCTATTCTATTTCCTTACTACCTAGGAGATCCTGATAATTTTATTCCTGCTAATCCATTAGTAACTCCCCCCCATATTCAACCTGAATGATACTTCCTATTTGCTTATGCCATCCTTCGTTCAATTCCAAACAAATTAGGAGGTGTAATTGCTTTAATTATATCAATTGCTATTTTATTTATTTTACCAATTATTCACATAAATAAATCTCAAGGTATACAATTTTATCCAATTAATCAATCTTTATTTTGATATATAATCATTATAATTATTCTCCTTACATGAATTGGAGCTCGTCCTGTTGAAATCCCATATATCATTACAGGACAAATTTTAACAATTTTATATTTCTTATATTTTATCATAAATTCCTTAATTTCATCATTATGAGACAAACTTTTAAACTATTAACTAAGTTAATAAGCTAAAAGCAATTGTTTTGAAAACATTAGATAGAAAATAAAATTTCTATTAACTTTACTAAAATTAATTATATAAAAATAATATTTTCATACTAATAAAATAAATAATTAAAAACAAAGAAATAGGTAAATATCTTTTTCATACTAAATATATTAATTTATCATAACGATACCGAGGTAATGTCCCTCGTACCCAAATAAATAAATAAGCAATCAATACTAATTTAAAATAAAATAATATACTAAAAATATCTCCCCCTAAAAAAATCAAAACATAAACTATTCTCATAAACAAAATTCTTCTATACTCAGCCAAAAAAATTATAGCAAACCCTCCTCCTCCATATTCTACATTAAATCCAGAAACAAGCTCTGACTCTCCTTCTGCAAAATCAAAAGGAGTTCGATTTGTTTCTGCTAATATTCTCGAAAATAACATTAAACCTAAAGGAATTATTAAAAAAATAAATCAAATATTCTCTTGATAAATTAAAAACCCTAAAAAATTAAATCTATTAATTAAAAAAATAAATGATAAAATCAATAAAATTAATCTTACCTCATAAGAAATAGTCTGAGCAACTGCTCGCAATCCACCTAATATCGCATAATTTGAATTTGAAGACCAACCAGCTAATATAACTGTGTAAACCCCTAAACCTATACATCTAAAAAAAAATAATACCCCTAATCTAAAAGAATATAATTTCACTCATAATGGAATACAAGCCCATACAAATAATCTCAAAAATAAAGCAAAAACAGGAGAAAAATAATATAATCAATAATTAGAAACTATTAAATAAACATGCTCCTTAGTAAATAATTTAATAGCATCACTAAAAGGCTGAAAAATCCCAATAAATCCAACTTTATTTGGTCCTTTACGAATTTGAATATAACCCAAAACCTTACGCTCCAACAAAGTTAAAAAGGCAACTCCTACTAAAACACAAATAATTAATAATAAACTTCCTAATATTGGAATAATAATATCTAAAAAATAAATTACTATTTATAATTTAAATTATATAAATTAAATTCTAAATTTAATGCATTTTTCTGCCAAAATAGTCTTTATTGTATCATTAATTAATATTAAACAAATTATAAACAAAATAAAATTATTTTATATTTAATCCTTTCGTACTAAAATATAATATTTAATTTAAAGATAGAAACTGACCTGGCTTACGCCGGTCTAAACTCAAATCATGTAAAATTTTAAAAGTCGAACAGACTTTATACTTTAAACTTCTGCACCTAAAATATATTTTAATTCAACATCGAGGTCGCAACCAATTTTATCAATATGAACTCTCAAAAACTATTACGCTGTTATCCCTAAGGTAACTTAATTTAATAATCAATATTACTGGATCAATCAAAACCAATTATTATAGAAATAAAAAAATAAAAATTTCATAAATTTTACTATTACCCCAATAAAATAAAAAAAAAATTAAATTAAATAAAAATCTAATTTTTTTAACTTTTCAATTTATAAAGATCTATAGGGTCTTCTCGTCTTTTAAAAATATTTTAACATTTTAATTAAAAATTAAAATTTTATACTATTAAAATTAAGACAGCTTATATCTCGTCCAATCATTCATTCAAGCTTTCAATTAAAAAACTAATGATTATGCTACCTTTGCACAGTTAAAATACTGCGGCTCTTAAATTATTATCAGTGAGCAGATTAAACTTTAAAAAAAAACAAAAAGACATGTTTTTAATAAACAGGCGAATATTAAATTTGCCGAATTCCTTAAAATTATATAAATAATTTATTAACCATTTAAATAAAAATATTCCTTTAAAAAATATACTAATATTATCATTATTACTTTAAATAAAATAATTAAATTAAATATTTTAATAAATAATTAAAAAAAAATAAATCTTAAATATTTTATAAATTATAATATATATATATATATATATATAATTATTATTAAATTATAACATACAATTAATAACTTCTATTTCTAAGAATTTATCATAAAATTCTTCTATAAAACTTAATTTTATAATTTAAAACATTAAAGCTTATCCCCTAATATTTCATTTATTATTAATTATAAAAATAAAAAATAATTTTTTATAATAAAAACAAACTAAATTAAACTTAATTCTTAAAAAATTAGATATAATAAAAACCGAATAACTTTTAATTTCAAATTTAATATTTAATATAGTTATTATACAATAAAATTATTATTAAATTAAATCTTTTTATTTCGAAATATATAAAAATTTTTAAAAAAAAATTAATAACTCCTGACACAAAAGGTACATTAAACAAAAATTTCTTAAAAATTAATTAATTTTCAAATATTTAAATATTCTTATTCAATACTATACACTATAATAAAAATTATTATTTCTTAAAATAATACTAAAAACTAAATTATTTTTTTTAAAATAAATATAAACTAATAAATTTTTATTAAATATCAGTTTAAATTGATTTGCACAATTTTAATTTCAATGTAAATGAAATTTCTATCTTTTAGAATATAAACTATTATCTAGAAACACTTTCCAGTACCTCTACTTTGTTACGACTTATCTTATTTTATTAACAAGAGCGACGGGCAATATGTACATATTTTAGAGCTAACTATCAATTTAATTTAATTAATAAATTTACTTTCAAATCCACCTTCATTTTATTATTACAAATAAAAATTCATTTAATTTATATTATTGTAATTCATTTTTACTTATATATAAACTGCACCTTGATTTGACATAAAATTATATTAAATAATATATATATATATATTATAATCATAAATTTAAGAAATTTAATTTTTCTTATAAAATATTCTAATGACAACGATATACAAATTAAATAAAATAAGTTAGATTATCGTGGATTATCGATTAAAAAACAAATTCCTCTGAAAAGACTAAAATACCGCCAAATTATTTAATTTTCATCTCCATAATTATTAATAATTTAAAATAATAAACCTTTATTTTTATAATAGAGTATCTAATTCTAGTTTTTAAAAAAAATTTAATAAAATTTATTTAATTTAATATTAAATATTTTAAAATATTAAAATTTCACTTAATAATATTTAATTAAATTTAATTCTATTTTATTAATTAACCTATATTACTAAATTTTAAAAAATTTACTTATATATTTTGTATAACCGCGATTGCTGGCACAAAATTTATCTATATTAAATTAAATTACTATATCATAATTTCTTAAATATATAAAATTAATTACTGTAAATAATTAAACATAATAAATTATTTTTTAAATAATTTTATATTCAAACAAAAATTTACATATAAATTATTTAATTAATAAATCATTAAACTATAAATAAATATAAT